ACACCATGCCGACACACACACACACAAACACACACACACACACAACACACACACACAACACACAACACACACACACACACACAATTAACACTACCTCACTCAAACACACACGCCGCACACACAACACACACTATACTTACACAACATACATCCACACACACACACACACACACACACACACACAACAACACACACACACACACACTTTGCACGCAACACAACACACACACACACACACACACACACACACACACACACACACACACACACACACACACACACACACACACACACACACACACACGCACACACACACACACACACACACACACACACACACACACCACACACACACACACACACACACACACACACACACACACACACAAAATAAGTCAACTTTCACTCATTACCCCCCTCCCCCCAGGAGCCCCGTCCCCCCATCACAACACGTCCTCGACTTGTTGTAAGCAAGAACGACAGATGGGAGAGAGGGAAAAAAAAACTACAAAATTGGACTGGGCTCCTCCGCCGACACAACAGTAGGTTCAATATTTAGACCGAGAGACAATGGGGGCAGGAAAGCCCAAGGGTCTGGGCCAACCATGGGCCCACAAAGAACCGTGTTAATTATCCAAGGTTCTCTATTACTCCAGCTGAAATATTGACAACCAATGGCGCAGCGGATGCGCCTCCGGCCGCCCCGTCTCTTCGCTATGCTCGGCAAGACGCGTCTTTCTCAAGCATTATTTTCTTTTTCTCTTACAATGGATCCTTTTTTCCTCTATTTTTATAGAAGAGGGAGAGAGGAGGGAGGAGGGAAACAGAGTTGTGTCAGTGTTTATAAATAGCGAATATACACCTGCCTTCAGGGTAAATTATATATGTGTAATGAATTGAAATGATGCGTTGTATAGCCCTCTTGCTCTCAACTACGGTCGAAAGATGATGGGAAAAATTCTTTTCCCAGTGGGAACTGAGCTGTGGAAAATGTGTTTTTGGGAAAGAAGGACAGGGGCAGCAGAGTCTTAGAGCCATTCTTTTATTGGCCTACAGTGATACTGAAACAAAAACTATTGTCTGTGCCAACCTCGGTTACACGAAGATCCGGCCCCGATACCGGCCAGATTTACCTTGTTTATTCGTCCGCTGCTTCCTACACGGGGGAGGAGGGTTCCCACTCAGCCGAATTCTGGGCGGTGGCCCCCGGTGCCGGAATGGACGACGTGTTGACACTACACGGGTTCAGCATACACGGTGTGGAGCGCTACACGGGTTGGTGGTCCGCAGGGACCACACCGGCCACAACACTACTGTTGTCTAAGAAACTTTTTGCAGATTACTTGAGGGACGCTCACAAGATTCTTTCTCTCTTATTATTCTCTCCATTCTCTTTCACTTCTCTTGACTTTTATTTGGTATTCTTTCTTTTCTTTTCTTTTTTTTTTTACGTACGTTACATCTTGTGTCTTAGCGTCTCTTTAGTTAATAATGTAAGACATTTATGTTTTATTTAAGTTTTCCATTACGTTTTTTGCGTCTCTTATGTTAATAATGTATAAAATTTCTGCTTTTTTCCTCCCCTATATTTTCATCTTGCGTTTTAGCGAGTCTTTGGAAATAACGCATTAAATTTCTCTCCTCCCGCTGCCTAATAAATCCATAATTGCTTTTCCTTCATGGGTATTCGGTCTCAATTTTCCACACCCGTCTTTTTTCCCCAATAAATTGAGCTTGAGTGCCACGTAATATTCTGGATGTACAGACCTGACGCACATCCTCCTTAACCGCCATGTTTGGGGATTAGCATACAAGAGGGTTGACGCAAAGGTTGTGGCGTGTGATGCGTATGAACTATCGCCGGTGAATCATACAAGAGGGATGACGCAGAGATGCGGGTGTACCCTGCATGCGCATGACCGATCGCATATTGACGCCTCTGATCGACCGAGTAAACTCCTGGTTTGCGACGAGTATAGATTCCCCCAATGCTGATGATTGGCTCTGACACTCTCCGACTGTCAGCCTCCTGGCACCTGACTGTTCTGAGTGCCAACCTGTCAATATAAACCCACCCTCTCTTCTCCGCCCACCCTAGACACCTGGGTGTGACGCTGGTGCAGCGGCTGACTGCAATGTGACTGTCAACAGGTGGATACCAATCGCGTTAATAAACAGGGACGTTTATGTACCCAGACAAGACCTGTTGATGACCAACTCTATGGTGGAGGCAAACACTGCGACCAGTGAATGCTCAGAATGTCAACAATGTCTCTGAGAGGATCATATTCTGTGTCGGTGTGTGTGTGTCTGTGTGTAATAGTAGTAATAGTTACTGGTTGTCAGTTATTTGTCGATAAACACTTGTTTTTTTTTTTTTAATGCGTGTGTGCTCACCGAGTTGTATCAGCGGGGGGTCGAGACTTTGGCCCCACTTCCTGGATTACTTTGATCGGTATTCCTGATTTCTGACCTCTTGGGGGCATTATATGTTTTCTTGAAGCTGTGTACTGAGTCTGCCTCTACCACTGCCTCACCCAAGACTAAAGAAACACTTGCCTGCATGTTGATAAGTAAAGCACACGTGCAACGCCTGGGTATCTTTATTGCGAAGACATTTATCAGTCTTTATCATTACAGAGGTTAACAGAACGAGTTAAAACTGTCGACAGCTGAAGAAGAGGAATTCAGTCCCTTAGCCTAGTATGAGCCAGTAGGCCTGCTTCAGTGCTCCTTCTGTCTTATGTTCTGTCTGGCCTAACTCTTGGGCCTGACCTACTCCTACCTACTACATCTCAACTGACTCCTTCATAAGCGACCATCTTCCTACCTATGCTTGATTTCTCAAGTCTACAGTGATGATCATCCGTCACTGAGGCTGAAGGACTCATTACTTCGTCTTTTATCTCTACACAGGTCAATTTTAGTCTAAGAGCTGTTATCCAACCTCAGCTTTCAAAGTCCAGCTTTATCTGAGGTATACTACCACCCCCAGGATGCCACCCACACCAGTCGTCCACCACCCAGGTATCTATTTACTGCTAGGTGAACAGGAGCAGCTGGAGTAAGGAAACACGCCCAACGTCTCCACTTGGCCGGGAATCGAACCACGGATACTCGGTATGTAAGCCGAGAGGCGCTACCAATCAAGTCACGGGAAACATACTGTCTCCAGTTTCAATACTAAACTGATGAAGCCACTGGTTAGCGAAACACTTTCATAATAAACATAGGTGTTGTACATGTGTCTCTTTCATCAACTTGTCTGTATTATGTATCATCACAGTTATCACTTACATCCCTATGGCTCATCTGTGTCTTCAGCTTCCGCCTATGTCCTGTTGAGCCTGGTCCTTTTAATTCATCCTATCAGTTACTCTTACATTTTGTACCTAGTAATCATGTCCTCACCTGTTCTTCTCTACTCTACGATCGTTGGGCTTATTTCCTTCAACCTTCCCTCACAGTTCATTCCTCCCAGTTCTAGTACTGGCCTGGTTGCAAACCTTTAGACTTTTCCAGTTTCTTCATGTTCTTGACCAGATATGAGTTCCGTGCTGGGGCCGCATATTATGTGTGTGTGTGTGTGTGTGTGTTTGTGTGTGTGTGTGTGTGTGTGTGTGTGTGTGTGTGTGTGTGTGTGTGTGTGTGTGTGTGTGTGTGTGTGTGTGTGTGTGTGTGTGTGTGTGTGTGTGTGTGTGTGTGTGTGTGTGTGTGTGTGTGTGTGTGTGTGCTGTATTTCTCGTAACGACAAATAGCTACAATAGTAACTGTCCTCAGTCACGCACACAGCACCCTCTCCACCATCACCCCGTCACTGCCAGACAGATAATCCCTTAAAACACACTCAGTGAGAGCTGCAAAGAACAGATTATCAGTTATTAATAATCTGCAAGATGCATATATATTTTTTTTGTACAGGAATATCGCAGGACGGCTCCACTGAGACTGTAACCACTGTAACCTGATGAAAGCCGAGGCGCCTCAGCCTTTCCCCCAATACCCCAGCGACTCACCTCAGCCAGAGTCACCATTAATGAGGCAGAGGGTTCAAAAAAGGCGCTAATACCAGTTCTAATCACCCAAATTTGTTGCAGACTATGATCTTATGATCTCTTAACCCCCTGTGGATATCGCCAGCTCAACATTAATATGGTAAAAGCTACCATTGGCACCACTTCCATTAACGATGACAAAGTGCCTCGATGCCACCCGGGCCAGCAGCCTTCTGGCACTCTCTAAACGCTTTTTTTTTGACACTTCTCTCCCTTTAGTTGTATTTTACATTGAAGAGGTGTGAAGTAAAAGGGGGGGAAGGGGTGGTAAGGGATGGGGGATTTTTTGCGTTGTCTGGTTCACGCCCCTGAAGTCCCCTGGTGAGTGGGGGACAAAGGGGGACTCTTGGGATGCTTAAGTCAAAACAAATAATTCAACTGGTGACAAAGCTTGCCGGGTGTGAGGTTGGGTTCTATATATATTAACTTTACATACACACATATCGTTGCCACTTAGCTCCAGGCACTATAAAGTGACTGTACTTGTATCAGGCAAACGAGGGCCTTGATCACTTCCCTTCGCCACGGTAAAAGGGATTTAATCCCGTCTCGTAACTTGCTCTAAAGAGGAGGCGTAATTAAAAGTCAGAGAAAAAAGGGCAATGAAAATGGAAAAGCCTCATAGATACTGTCGCTTACACACTCGTGTTGTTTCGCGCCATCAGCGGCCCGCGTTCAGACCTCGTGTTATATTTTCTTCGCGACCTCTACATGTGGCTGCGTCTTGGACCAATCACGGAGACGGAGCAACTCGCATATTTGTAACGGACGATTTCATTGGATAAGAAAATATGTTGGGCTCCGCCCGACTTACTCAGGAATGATTTACTGGCGTTGTGATTGGCTGGGAGGGTGGTGGGCGTGGCGTCGCGATGGCTCAGGGGCGCACACTCGCCGCGCCACCTCTGTGGTGTAATATTACACTTGCTGCCTCACCGTCCATCATTCTTTTTGCGGTGGGCTCACAGCTCGCGACTCTGACTGTAGCGCGCGAGACAGTGGCAGCCATGAACCAGGTTCCCTCACCTACCAGTGCCTCGCCAACGGGAAGCTCCAGCAAGAAGGAAGACCACATTAAACGCCCCATGAACGCCTTCATGGTGTGGTCGCGCATGCAGCGGCGCAAGATCGCCCAGGAGAACCCCAAGATGCACAACTCGGAGATCTCCAAGCGACTGGGCTCCGAGTGGAAGCTGCTGACGGAGGCGGAGAAGCGTCCCTTCATCGATGAGGCGAAACGTCTCCGGGCGCAGCACATGAAGGAGCACCCTGACTACAAGTACCGCCCTCGCAGGAAGCCTAAGACGCTGCAGAAGAATGGCTACAGCTTCCCGCTTCCCTACCTGGCCACTTCGGCGCTGGACCCGCTGGGCCCGCTTCACCAGACCTACTACTCGACACCTGCGGTGCCGTCACCGCTAGATGTAGCCGGGGACAAGACCCGGCTCTTCCCAGGTGCTGCTGGCCTCCCCCACCACTTCTACCCCGGGTTCGACCCCCAGCACTTCACCAAGTTCGCTCAGGAGCACTATAAACCCATGACCTCACTGGCTTGCAACGACTCTGCCGCTGCCGCCGCCGCCGCCGCCGCCAGCGTCTCCGCCGCCTCTATGGGCGGCATGTCAACGGTGTCGGCCCTGTACTCGTCGTTGTACTCCAAATCGGCGTCGTCGCTGCTGTCAGGGATGTCTGCGGGTCTGAGCGGCGGGCAGCAGGGCGCGCCGCAACCGCAGCTTTACCCTGGATACCCGCCCACCGTCGACCAGCTGCGGCGACCCGTCTCTGTGATCTTCTGAACTGACCACCACCCACCGCCCCCGCTCCCACCGCCGCCGCGGACCACTACACCCTGATGTACACAGGGTGTTCTAAGTGTACATAGTGTACAGTAGTGAGGAGTGAGACACAGTGTGTGGAGAGACATCACATAGTGTGGAGGAGAGACACAGTGTGGAGACATCGCATAGTGTGACGTCCTGGCCAATGATTAGTTGGTAGATGAAGTCGTCCCGTTCTTTGTGTAGGACCACTGAAGGTGTGATGTTGGACCACTGTAGGTGTGACACTGGACCACTAAAAGTGTTGATGCTGGACCCCTGTAGGTGTCATGCTGCACCACTCCAGGTGTGATGTTGGACTACTGCAGGAGTGGCACCGGACCACTCCAGGTGATATGGACCATTAAAAAAAAACAAGGTGAAACACACAATAGCAGAGATGAGGTGTGGGAAGCACTCCAAGTGTGGTGTAGAAGACTACCTGTTGACTACCTACCTGTAGACTAATCCCTGAGGGGGAAAGAGGAGGAGGAGAAGGGGGGAATCATCACCCCCGCGGCCTGGTCTCAGACCAAATCCCGGTCTGGGGGGAGGGGGCTTGTCATAGCGAGTCACTGCGTCCTTGCCTACCTGGTGAGGGACGTCGAGTGTACAGTGTGCCATTAGATGGTGCATTGGGGCCCTATCTTGAGGCACTGTAAGTACTTACAAAGTATTTCTGTTTCGCTGAGTCCCTCTAAAGTGAAAGTGTGTACACTCAAGTGTGGCTTACATTGCTCCCGGGACCAGATTTTCAACTTTAACCAGTGTACAAGTGTACAAGTATACAAGTGTACAAGTGTACAAGTGCATCTAGACTAGTCCTTTCAAGCTCATCTATGAATTATATCAAGATTTGTGCTGTTTTAATGTTAAATTATATATATACATATATATGTATGTATGTGTGAGTGTGTGTGTACATGTGTGTACAACTTTTGTACTTGTCAACTTTTGTGACTGTATAAATATAATAATTAGTTATGTTAATAATATCTACAATTATTATTTATTATTAATATATTACCTGATAATTTTAATAATAAATTGCGTACAAGAATTATAAATATCTTTTATTTCATCCCCATAGATATTTTACTAAGTATAATGCTTAAAAATAATTTAAATTTTAAATGTATAATTCTCTTCTTAGAGAATTTTTAACATCTGAGTGTATATTAATTTTGAACTGGGGGTTGCGTATAATATTAGAGGGATTCGATAATCTTTTAATATGAATTAAATAATCTCTAGAGATTGTGAAATGTGAAAATCTTTTTCTCTTCTCACTGATAAATTCAACACACAACAGCTGCTTAAATAATCATTGACTCCACCTCATTGCTTCGACGATAATTTTCTGCGGAGTATAAATCCTTCACCAACGCTTTTTAATGAAATAAAGCCCCCAAAATGTCTGAGATAAACACCAAGACTTGAGTTCCTGAAAAAAACACCTATCACTGTTCCTGACGAATAAAACACCAAAAACACCTGCTTCTGGAGAATAAAACATCACCACCCTTCCTGACATCCCCTAACACTTGCTTCCTGACGAATAAAAACCAACCAAACCCCTTCTTCCTGACGATAAAACACTAATACCATTCACACCCAAACACTTGCTTTCTGAGGAATAAAAACACCACAACAATTTGCTTCCTGACGAATAAAACACCACAACACTTGCTTCCTGGAGAATAAAAACACCACAAACCTGCTTGTAATCACCACTTGCTCGGAATAAAACACCAAAAACACCTGCTTCTAAACGAATAAAACACCACAACAACTGCTTCCTGACGAATAAAACACCACAACACTTGCTTCCTGAGAATAAAACACCACAACACTTGCTTCCTGACGAATAAAACACGAATAAAACACCCCAACACTTGCTTCCTGACGAATAAAACACCACAACACCTGCTTTGTGAAGAATAAAACAGCAGAACACTTGCTTCCTGACGAATAAAAACACCACAACCCCTTGCTTCCTGACGAATAAAAACACCACAACACTGCTTTGATGAAGAATAAAACAGCAGAACACTTGCTTCCTGACGAATAAAACACCACAACACCTGCTTCCTGACGAATAAAACACCACAACACGTGCTTCCTGACGAATAAAACACCACAACACCTGCTTTCTGAGGAATAAAACACCACAACACGTGCTTCCTGACGAATAAAACACCACAACACGTGCTTCCTGACGAATAAAACACCACAACACTTGCTTCCTGACGAATAAAAAACCACAACACCTGCTTTTGGACGAATAAAAACAGCAAACACTGCTTCTGACGAATAAAACAGCAGAACACTTGCTTCCTGACGAATAAAACACCACAACACCTGCTTCCTGACGAATAAAACACCACAACACGTGCTTCCTGACGAATAAAACACCACAACACCTGCTTCCTGACGAATAAAACACAACAACACCTGGTTCCTGACGAATAAAACACCACAACACCTGGTTCCTGACGAATAAAACACCACAACACCTGCTTCCTGACGATAATACACCACAACACCTGCTTCCTGACGAATAAAAACACCACAACACCTGCTTCCTGACGAATAAAACACCAAAAACACCTGCTTCCTGACGAATAAAACACCACAACACCTGCTTCCTGGCGAATAAAAACACCACAACACCTGCTTCCTGACGAATAAAACACAACAACACCTGCTTCCTGACGAATAAACACACAACACCTGCTTCCTGACGAATAAAACACCAAAACACCTGCTTCCTGACGAATAAAACACCACCACCATCTGCCAGATAACTAGTTGAGTAAGACACTACCAGTCACTGGGCGAAACACTACCAGTCACGGGGCGAAACACTACCAGTCCTGGCCACTACAGTCACAAACATATTATTACAAACATTTCCTTCAACAATGATAATACGTAAGAATATTATAGTATTATCTAGATCACTGAATGTTATGAAAGAGCACAACATAGCACATAGCAGCGCTATGTTGCATAGCACATAGCAGCGCTATGTTGCATAGCACATAGCAGCGCTATGTTGCATAGCACATAGCAGCTCTATGTTGCATAGCACATAGCAGCTCTATGTTGCATAGCACATAGCGACCTTTTGTTGCATAGCACATAGCAGCGCTATGTTGCATAGCACATAGCGCTTATGTTGCATAGCACATAGCAGCGCTATGTTGCATAGCATATAGCAGCGCTATGTTGCATAGCACATAGCGCTATGTTGCATAGCACATAGCAGCGCTATGTTGCATAGCACATAGCAGCGCTATGTTGCATAGCACATAGCGCTATGTTGCATAGCACATAGCAGCTCTATGTTGCATAGCACATACAGCGCTATGTTGCATAGCAATCATAGCGCTGCTGGTATACCAGCTAATAGTTCAGCGCTATGTTTAGGGGAATAGTATTACCAGCGCTGAATGTTCCAGCTGAACATATTCCAGCGCTGATTAGATTAGCAATAGTACCCAGCGCTAATTTGTATTCATAGCAGCGCTATAGTTTTAGCACCCAAACGCTGCGTATTACCGCGCTGTGATTACCCACTATAGTACCAGCGCTATGTATTACCCAGCGCTAAAAGTTGCCAGCGCATAGTACCAGCGCTTGAATAGTATTTCCAGCGCTATGTTTCCCATCCTGACTAGTCTACCCCGTTGCATAGTATATCAGCGCTGAATGTATACCCAGCGCTATGTTTACCCAGCGAATAGCCAGCGCTATGTTAGGGTAATAGTATTACCAGCGCTAATGTTGATAGCCAGCGCTGATGTTACCAGCTGATAGTATTACCCAGCGCTTGTAGTATTAAGCATATACCAGCGCTAGTAATAGTATTACCAGCGCTGAATAGTATTTCAGCTGGAAACTTTTACCAGCGCTGACTGGTATTAAACCAGCGCTGAATAGTATTACCCAGCGCTGAATAGTATACCAGCGCTGAATAGTATTACCCAGCGCTGAATAGTATTACCAGCGCTGAATAGTATTACCCAGCGTGAATAGTATTACCCAGCGCTGAATAGTATTACCCAGCGCTGAATAGTATTACCCAGCGCTGAATAGTTATTACCCAGCGCTGAATAGTATTACCCAGCACTGAATAGTATTACCCAGCGCTGAATAGTATTACCAGCTGAACAGTATTACCCAGCGCTGAATAGTATTACCCAGCGCTGAATAGTATTACCAGCGCTGAATAGTATTACCCAGCGCTGAATAGTATTACCCAGCGCTGAATAGTTATTACCAGCACTGAATAGTATTACCCAGCGCTGAATAGTATTACCAGCACTGAATAGTATTACCAGCGCTGAATAGTATTACCCAGCGCTGAATAGTATTACCCAGCACTGAATTAGTATTACCAGCGCTGAATTAGTATTACCCAGCGCTGAATAGTATTACCCAGCACTGAATAGTATTACCCAGCGCTGAATAGTATTACCCAGCGCTGAATAGTATTACCCAGCGCTGAATAGTATTACCCAGCGCTGAATAGTATTACCCAGCGTTGAATAGTATTACCCAGCGCTGAATAGTATTACCCAGCGCTGAATAGTATTACCCAGCGCTGAATAGTATTACCCAGCACTGAATAGTATTACCCAGCGCTGAATAGTATTACCCAGCGCTGAATAGTATTACCCAGCACTGAATAGTATTACCCAGCGCTGAATAGTATTACCCAGCGCTGACTGGTATTACCCAGCGCTGAATAGTATTACCCAGCGCTGAATAGTATTACCCAGCGCTGAATAGTATTAACCAGCGCTTTAATAGTATTACCAGCGCTGAATAGTATTACCCAGCACCCGAATAGTATTACCCAGCGCTGAATAGTATTACCCAGCGCTGAATAGTATTACCCAGCACTGAATAGTATTACCCAGCGCTGAATAGTATACCCTTAATATCCCAGCGCTGATAGTATTACCCAGGCGATCCCCGTGAATAGTATTACCCATCGCTGAATAGTATTACCCATGCTGAATAGTATTACCCAGCCCTTTAATAGTATTACCCAGCGCTGAATAGTATTTGACCCAGCGCTGAATAGTATTACCCAGCGCTGAATAGTATTACCCAGCGCTGACTGGTATTACCCAGCGCTGAATAGTATTACCCAGCGCTGAATAGTATTACCCAGCGCTGAATAGTATTACCCAGCACTGAATAGTATTACTCAGCGCTGAATAGTATTACCCAGCACTGAATAGTATTACCCAGCGCAGAATAGTATTACCCAGCGCTGAATAGTATTAAACAGCGCTGAATAGTATTACCCATTGCTGAATAGTATTACCCATTGCTGAATAGTATTGCCCAGCGCTGAATAGTATTACCCAGCGCTGAATAGTATTGCCCAGCGCTCACTGGTATTACCCAGCGCTGTATAGTATTACCCAGCGCTGACTGGTATTACCCAGCGCTGAATAGTATTACCCAGCGCTGACTGGTATTACCCAGCGCTGAAGAGCATTACCCAGCTCTGAATAGTATTACCCAGCGCTGAATAGTATTACCCATCGCTGACTGGTATTACCCAGCGCTGAATAGTATTACCCAGCGCTGACTGGTATTACCCAGCGCTGAATAGTATTGCCCAGCGTGAATGGTATTACCAGCGCTGCTGGTATTACCCAGCGCTGATGTATTACCCAGCGCTGAAGAGTATTACCCAGCGTCTTAATAGTATTACCAGCGCTGAATAGTATTGCCCAGCTCTGTATAGTATTACCCAGCGCTGAATAGTATTACCCAGCGCTGACTGGTATTACCCAGCGCTGAATAGTATTACCCAGCGCTGAATGGTATTACCCAGCGCTGACTGGTATTACCCAGCGTTGAATAATATTACCCAGCGCTGAATAGTATTACCCAGCG